TCTGCTCTTGTAACAGTTTGCTCAGAATGATAGTTTCCAGCTTCATCCATGTTCCAGCAAAGGACATGAACTCATCCTTTTTTATGGCTGCATAGTATTCCATGGTGTATATGTGCCATATTTTCTTTATCCAGTCTATCATTAATGGACATTTGGGTTGGTTCCAAGTCTTTGCTATTGTGAACAGTGCTGCAATAAAGATACATGTGCATGTGTCTTTATAGTAGAATGATATATAATCCTTTGGGTATATACTCAGTAATGGGATTGCTGGGTCAAATGGTATTTCTAGTTCCAGATCCTTGAGGAATTGCCACACTGTCTTCCACAATGGTTGAACTAATTTACACGCCCATCAACAGTGTAAAAGCATTCCTATTTCTCCACATCCTCTCCAGCACCTGTTGTTTCCTGACTTTTTAATGATCGCCATTCTAACTGGTATGAGATGGTATCTCATTGTGGTTTTGATTTGCATTTCTCTAATGACCAGTGATGATCATTTTTTCATATGTTTGTTGGCTGCATAAATATCTTCTTTTGAGAAGTGTCTGTTCATATCCTTCCCCCACTTTTTGATGGGGTTGTTTTTTTCTTGTAAATGTGTTTAAGTTCTTTTTAGATTCTGGATATTAGCCCTTTGTCAGATGGCTAGATTGCAAAAATTTTCTCCAATTCTGTAGGTTGCCTGATCACTCTGATGATAGTTTCTTTTGCTGTGCAGGAGCTCTTTAGTTTAATTAGATCCCGTTTGTCAATTGTAGCTTTTGTTACCATTGCTCTTGGTGTTTTAGACATGAAGTCTTTGCTCATGCCTATGTCCTGAATGGTATTGCCTAGGTTTTCTTCTAGGATTTTTATGGTTTTAGGTCTTATGTTTAAGTCTTTAATCCATCTTGAGTTGATTTTTGTATAAGGTGTAAGGGAGGGGTCCAGTTTCAGTTTTCTGCATATGGCTAGCCAGTTTTCCCAACAACATTTATCTATAAAATGGAATGATACTATCTGCCTTATAAAATTGTTATAAGGATCAAATGAGAAAATATATGCAAAGAACTTATCACAGCCCCTGACCAAAAAAAGAAAAATCCCCTAATGTTCATTTTTCTTCTCCCTTGCTCTGAAGCCAATACGACAGTTTCACAGACAGTATTTAATATTTGCTACACTGGTGACCTGGATCACTTTTAAAAGTCGGAGTGATCTGGAACAATCCAATGGGCAATATGAACCCTTGGAGTAGAACTGAATCCCAGCATAAGAGGGGCTCTCAGATTCATACAAGCTGGTGGAGTAAGACTCCAGGGACAGATAGGAACTGAGAATCTGCACTGATTGCATGATAAAGGAAGGAAGGAATCCACCTGAGTATGTAACAATCACCATTTGATGCAGTCTGTTCCAGGAGAGTCTTCAGTACCTATTCATTGTCAAAATGGGATGAAAAACCAACACAGAGCCCTGCCCATTGTAGGAACATATATTGAGTGACATTAATCTTTAAGTGTTCTTGCTTTCTGTAAAGAAGCCCTTGATTTATCAATATAAGCACATTGTATACCTATTATATGACTCGATGAGGGTTGCAAGGTACACAATACACAATACTAGCTCTTAAAGAGCACCTTAGTACAGTGAGAAGACAGGATACTCAGGGAAAGAGGTAAGCAATGCAATCTCTTATGGAAAATGGATAAAGAGTAAATATGACCATTATTAAAATAAATGCAAGGACCCAGGACTTGGATGGCCTGGAGAAATTTCATAAAAGAGATGAGACTTGAGCCGGGTCTAAAGGACTTATCAGTCTCACAATTCTCATCCATAAAATGGAGATAATAATTCCAGCTTGGTTTCTATGGAGTTCACATGAGATAGTATGAATTAGCTTTATCCACAGTGTATTGTAGGGACCATTGAACCCTTGAAATATCCCAAGAGAAAGGTTTTACGATAAGGTAAACTTGCAAAACACTATATAAATCACCCTCTTAGTTTCTCAATAAATATTCACATCATAATGATGCTAAGAATTATGGAAAGCTAAAAAGAAATTGTTGAGTCTTGTTTTACTCAGAGGAGAGGGGTCCCAAATAATTTGATCACAGAAGCCCTTTATTCAGAGATCATCTATTAACATCTTATGTGTTCCATGGAACACACTTTGAGAAATGCTCATATACATGAAAAGTTCTTTGTGTACTTGCATAAAGTGATATGGTGATTCATATTATTGTATGCGAGTATCTGTAGTATAAGTTCACAAAGTAAACACAGAATTTCTTTGGATCAGAAAATGTATCTAACTTTATCTCTCACTGTATGCATGGGCTTTTTCTGCTTGTATATTTAAAAAAATTAAAAAAAAAAAACGTATTTAGAGTTTATGTCTTACCATCCAAATTCAACCCACTCAAATCCCAGTCAAGATTTCCCTTTTTCACAAAATCTTTCCAACCTTCCCTCCCCTCCTGCCCACAGGGATTCCTGTGTTCTCTGATCTTTCTCAGCACTGACTGTCCCCAAGGAACTGGGACTTTGGAGTCGTCTCTAAGAAACTGGAATTATGCAGAATTAAAATGTTCCACATTTGGTAGAGTTGAATAGCATTAGAATGAAATTTGTGAGAAAACCACAGTTTTAAAATAAAAGGTAGCATTTCTTCATTGGAGTTCCAGAAGTTCCAGAAGAATTTCACAAGAGAAAACTGCTTCTTTTCTGTTGTTGTTTTTATTTGTTTTTGTTTTGTTTTGTTTTCGCTTTGTTACCCAATTCTAAGTTCACAATTACAAACGTTTCATTCATTCATTAAACATATTAAATTTAAGTCTTCTGAATTTGGACATGGATTTACATTTAAACTTTTAAAATATCTTTTTTAAACTCTTATTTGAAGTTCAGGGATACATGTGTAGACTTGTTAAATAGGTAAACCCACGATGTGGAGGTTTGTTGTACAGATTATTTTATCACATAGGTATTAAGCCGAGTACCCATAAGATATTTCTCCTGATCCTTTCCCTCCTCCCACCCTCCAATAAACCCCAGTGTGTGGTGTTCCCATCTACGTGTCCATTTGTTCTCACCATTTAGCTCCCACTTATAAGTGAGAACGTGTGGTATTTGGTTTTCTATTCCTTTGTTAGTTTGCTAAGGATAATGGCCTCCAGCTCCATCCATGTTTCTACAAAGAATATGATCTCATTCTTTTTTATGGCTGCATAGTATTCCACAGTGTATATATACCACATTTTATTTATCTAGTCGATCATTTATGGGCATTTAGGTTGATTCCACATCTTTGCTTCTGTGAATAGCACTGCAGTGAACATAAGCATGCCTGTGTCTGTATGATAGAATGATTTATATTCCTTTGGATATATACCTAGTAATGGAATGCTGGTCCAATGGTAATTCTGTTTCTAGGTCTTTGAGGAATTGCCGCACTGCTTTCCACAATGGTTGAATGAATTTACACTCCCACCAATGGTGTAAAAGTGTTCCCTTTTCTCTGCAACCTTGCCAGCACCTGTTATTTCTTGATTTTTTTTAATAGCAGCCATTCTGACTGGTGTGACATGGTATCTCACTGTGGTTTTGATTTGCATTTCTCTAATCAGTAATGTTGAGCTTTTTTTCATATGCTTGTTGGCCACATGTATGTCTTCTTTTGGAAATTATCTGTTCATGTTCTTTGCCCTCTTTTTAATGGGATTGTTGTGGGGTTTTTTTTTGGTAAATTTGTTTAAGTTTTTTGGATGCTGGATATTAGACCTTTGTCAGATGCATAGTTTTCAAAAGATTTCTTCCGTCCTGTAGATCGTCTGTTTATTCTGTTGATAGTTTTGTTCACTGTATAGAAGCTCTTTAGTTTGAAGAGATCCCATTTGCCAATTTTTGCTTTTGTTGCTGTTCCTATTGGTACTATTCTAAGAAATTGAGGAGGACAGACTTGTCCGCAACCCACTTTATGAGTCCAGCATCATCCTGATACCAAAACCTGGCAGAGATACAACTGAAAAAGAAAACCTCAGGCCAATGTCCTTGGCCTCATAGGATATTGAACATTGATGCAAAAATCCTCGACAAAATACTGGCAAATAGAATCCAGCAGCATATCAAAAAGCTTATCCACAACGATCAAGTAGACCTTATCCCTGGGATGCAAGGTTAGTTCAACATAGACAAGTCAATAAATGTGATTCCTCACATAAACAGAACTAAAGACAAAAACCACATGATTATCTCAATAAATGCAGAAAAGGTTTTTGATGTCTTCTTGTTAAAATACAGTCACAAAACTAATTACTCTTTTCTCTGTGTGACTTGATAGTTATAAAATTTTAGTACTTCCTGACTCTACTGAAATCTGTGATTTGATCTTCAAAATCACTTTTGTTAAAAAAAAAAAAAAGGATAAAATGCAACAGTTCTAATTTAAACTCAGCACATTACTTATTACGGGGACCACCTTTTTTGAAGTTGTAAAATCAAGTACAATAATTACTGAGTTTAAAATGTTATAAATATGTTCATTGCTACTCTTGAAAACAAGGAATCCTTTGGCCTTCTGACTGATGCAGCAATGGAACTATTCTATGTGCCAAAGGAAGATGCCCATGAGTTGCTTTTACTGTGAATTTCAAAAAAAAAAAAAGGGATAATTTGAGAGCATGACACTGTAGCTATTCTGGGAGAAGCTAGAAGTCAGATGGGGGAGAGTGAGGGAGTTAGAGAACTAGGGCATGATAAGATCAGGAGCAACAGGATGTAGATAACAATGAGATTCTGTTCAGATACTGGCTTACTACACTAAATTAAAAACAACCACAAGCTAAATGTGGTACCCATTATATTATACAAAGAAAATTAAACTGAGGCAGAGAAATACAGACTGATCTCAACTTTTATCGTCTCATATAACAGAAAAGAGTCACAAAAGGTCAGATTTGGAAAATTCTTCTGATTGCTGAAATAGAACTAGACACCTAAGCAGAATCTTTGGAAAGCAAAAGGTGATTTATTTGAAACCCTGTGGTTAATGAAAATATCTATTATTCAAATACAGATTGCGATTTATGAAAATCAGTCAAGGACAGGAGTCATACCTAAGGCTCTGCTTGAAACTTGTTATTTATAATAATTCACATCAGCTCAGAATACAACTGGAATTTCTCTGTGAGTTCCTCAGCCACGGGGATTGCAGATTCTTCCTGGCCCGATGCCAGAGCCTGGAAATGAGTTACTTCCCAGTGAATGCTTGCTGTCCCAACCAGTCATCTAGGGAAATGAAACAGAATGAGGAATCACAAGGAAAAAACAGCAATGATACTGAGATTGTTGCCTTCACTTCAGTAACAAACTTCTGCCACTTACCAAAATGTCTCATAGTTTTTAAGCTCTGGTTCTTCTGTTACCTCTCTGTTAATTAACTGAAGTATCCATTCATTCGCTCAAAACCTCAGCTTTGAGCTTATTTTAGGCACTGGTTATATATTGTAAAATATAAAAGCTTGGTCCCTGCCCTTTTGAATTTTATGATCTAATTTAGGAAAGACAGACAATAAGTAGAAAAATGTATCTTAATCATAATTGGGATAAATAATAAGAATAAAAATAATGCTGACAAATACCCAGGCAGCATATACTACTTCAGAATAGCAGTTCTAGATGAAATTTGAACTTTCTTTTGAGAACTCACTCATTAAATTGATTTGTAGTCACTGATTTACCAAGAAAACACTATGAAATTTAAAACTGAGGTTAGAAACCTCCCTAGCCAAACGAAGAAACCACCAGAGAAAACATATTTTGTAAAAAGAAAAATATAAAGGTGATAGAATCTTTAATGTTTTAATTGGCCTTTATTAGTTTTAATTTTAAAATCTTGCTGTAAAATATTTCTTTCTGACTCCAGAGAGAAGGTTTCTAGACCAAAGCTTAGGCTACTATTGATGCAGAAATGCATTTGTTTATTCACCCACTTTCAGGGCAGCAGAGCCTGGCAAAGACTGTAGATTTCGGTGCCCAGTCTGAGGAACGTGAGTATGAATACATACTCTTCTGGAGGTTTCCAGTGTGAACTTGGACAGGTTGTTTACCCCTTCCAAGCCTCATTTTTGTAAAACATTTTAATCACAATACAGCACATTTACAAAAAGTGCACAAGGTATCGATATATACCTCAAAGTATTATCACCAAACAAGTCTGTGTAGCCACTACCCAAGTCAAGATGTGGACCATTGCCAGCCCCTCAAAATCTCCTCTTGGGTCCCTCCAATCTCTAGTCATCTCTCCTCTCCAGATTAGCCACTCTCTTGAATTCTAACATTAAAATTTGATGTTGTACCCCCTCTTTAAAAACTATATTTGTATGGAATAAAATGGTATGTATCGTTTGGTGTGTCTAGCTTCTTTTACTGAACCACATTTCTGAAGCTGTAAAATGGGAGAAATGATGTCCTTCTTATTCTGTGGTTAGGATAATGCTGTTGAAGTTGTGCAGTGTGTAAGGTGCTTTGCTTCCAGCCAGTTGCCAGAAAAGACGACTGTTTTATCCTTCCCAGTTGTTTTCTTTAGCAATGCCCACAAATACAGAAAAGCTAACGATGAGGGTGGATTGATTTGGAACCATTTGCTAGAGCTTACCTTGCCTTGAGGTCTACTGTTTAAACAACTGGTCTTCATCCTGCCACTTAATTCTCCTTTTCTGTGTGCCTTTCTTCCTATGGAGTAGCTGTTTCTTCTGCATTCATCTAGAAATAGGCTCAATTGGTTTGTGTTTTGGAAGATTATATAAATGACCCAAAAAGATTTTCAGAGATAACAGTAGCTGCAGATTATCCTTCATCAGGACATATTCTGTTCCAGACATTCTGCTGAGCACTTTACATACATGACAGTCCCCTTGTCCCCACGGTGATTTGGTATTCAAAATCACTTTGCAGTTTCTCTTTCCATACTTTCAGTTATGCAAGTTACCATACAGTAAGATATTTTGAGAGGCAGAGACAGAAAGAGAGACCACATTCATGTAACATTTATTAGAATATATTGTTATATTGTTTATCTCTTACTGTTTGTAATTTATAAATTAAACTTTTTCACAGGTGTATGAATAAAAGAATACATAGTTTATATTGCATAGGATTTGGTACTATCCATGATTTCAGGCATCCACTGGGAGTCTTGGAATATATCTTTTATGGATAAGGGGAAACTACCGCATCTCATTCCATCCTTACCATAGGTGATTGAGAGAGGTGTTTGTAATATCCCCATTGCAGAGCTGAAGTAGTGAGACCAGAGAGACTTGAAAGCTTACTCAACCACTAAGATATGGAGTTAGGATTTTCATCTAGGCAGTTGATTATAAGCCTGGCTCTTAACTGCTGATGTACAGGCCTGTGATACAGGCAGATCCTATAATATTTTACTACAATCCTTTATGAAAGATTATCATCTGTGGATTTTAACCATCACTGGAGAGCTTCTTGGTGGAAAAACTAATGGGAGCCTATGACAGTGTCCCCTATAACCTTACTGGGAAATACTCTCACTACCTGGCATTGAACACGAGCTTGGAGGCCACATAAATGTCTCAATATAAGTTCTAAAGTTTAAAGTCGAAATCAATCCATTTTGTGTGTTACATCTGCACTAAGGCATGTCATGATTTACCTGGGAAAGTGTCTTTGGGAATTTTAGTGCCTTCTCTAGTCCTTCTACCATTTCCTTCCTATCATCTTTATAATTTGTTTTCTATTTCTTAATTTTCTGTTATTGACCAGTAATCACAGTCCTATAGAGACATTCCCTGATGCTAATTCAAAAGATTAGAGTCTCTATGAAAATCTGCCAGTTTTAATTCTATGAAGCAGTTAAAATAGAGTCTACTTGGGCATTTTATAACAAATCCCCTTATGGCATTACATAATATGTCTCAGTTTACAAAAACTAAACTTATAAATACCAATTTAATGCTTTCTTTGTGCATGATATCATGCTAGGGATTCTGGGTAAAACAAGAAAATAATATGGCATAAGCCCCATCCCCAGAGAAGTTAAAATTTAGTTAAAGGAGAAGACAAAGATAGTCACAAAAAAATTAAATTTAGTTTAAAGTAATAGTAGAAATGTTGTAATACTGCCTATGAGTAAGAGGACATCTAAGGTAGTCTCAGAATAATTCCTAGAGATGTTCAGAGAAAACAGAAGTGACTTCAGGACGAATACAAGCTGCAGAGTCAGACTGTGTAAAACACACTGGCTGAACAAGCATGGCTTTACCCAAGGCTTCAGGGAAATGAGGAGAGACAGGTAGAAGATGAGTTTCCTATTGTTTCCTATTGCTGCTATAACAAATGACTGGAAACTTCACAGCTTAAGATGGCACAAGTTTATTATATAGCAATTCCGTAGGTCAGAAGTTCAAAATGGGTTGTACAGGTTAAAATCAAGATGTTAGCAGAGCTGTATGTCTTCTGGAGACTCTAGGGGAGAATCTGTTTCTTGCCTCTCCAGCTTCTAGAGACCACCTGCATTCTTTGGCTTGTGTCCCCTTCCTCCATCTTCAAAGCACGTTGCTCCAACCTCTGTCTACGTCATCACATCTCCTCTCTGACTCCTACTCTCCTTCCTTCCTCTGTAAGGACCTTTGTGATTATACTGGGCCCACCGGAATCATCTCTTTATGTTGTAATTAACTTCACCACATCTGCAAAAATCCCTCTAGCCATGTAAGATAACATATTCCCAGGTTTCGGGGATTAAGATGGGTGTGGACATCTGTACAGGCATTATGCTGTCTACTCCAGGCTGTTAACCCCATGTTAAGGAACACTTTCAGTGATAGGCTTTGAAGTTGATCCTACACAGCACAAAATCATTGAACATTTCTATCTGGGGAGAGACATGAGCACAGCACTGAGTGAAAGGCAGAGCGGTGGCCAGAGAAACATGGAGACGGGGAGACCGACGTGGAGAGTGTTGAAGCCATCACTGGACAGTGTACACACGGCATGTTCTCATGTCTCTGGTATGTTGCATGTGAGAATGAGAAAGTACCCACGTGCCCACCCATGCTATGCTTGTAAATACAGCCTCAGCTTGTTTCATGTGGATATTTGCTTCGCCATGGGAAAGCAGCCACCTGAGGAGGCCTCAGACTTTCCTGCCTCCTGGTATTCCTGCTACAACATCTCTCTTTAAGCATTTTGTATTCTGAGGAATTATCATCATGCTTCAAAATACCAATATTCAGAGGGATGGGAAGTACTTCTCTGAACAATTTCCCAGGTGTCCCAGAAGTTTTTCCAGTCTTAAGAAGATGAAAAAAGGTAGTCTGTGATGAGTAATTAATTGTCCAAGCTGCAATATCTTTCAGAGAGACCTTTTTCATGGATGGGAGGGACTGTCACCTGGAGGCAGCCAGGAGAAGGTACTTAATAGCAAGCAAGCTTGAGTGGCATTCACAGCAGAGTTGAGATGCTGTTCACTAAGTCTCCTCTCTGTTTTCTTCATCCCATCATAATGTCCAGTTTGAAATGAGTGTTCACGTACAGTAAGTTTTGATTCAGACCCTCAGTTTATTGGAATTAACTATAGCTATGTCTCCACATAGGAGTTTAAAAACAAAAAAAAAAGAGAGTTAAGTGAATTAGCAGACTTGCAATGGACCAAGAGATTGTCGGGGAGTTCCCATAAACACAAGCAAGAGCTGAAGTTGCCCCTCTCTGGCAAAACAAATTCAAAGAGTTCAGAAAAGAATAAGCCCTAATGATTATTAACTTATTTGGGGGTATTATCATCAGTATGGTTGCTTATCTAGGCTAAAGCAATTAAGATGAGATTAGATAGCTCTACCCTACTGCTTGCTAAGGCTTGATAACATGGAATTTTCAGAACACAAAAGTGTGTGTTTGCTAAAATGGAAGAGAAAATTATAATGTTGGTGTTCACTTTGAGGAATTATAACGCAATCTAAAAGGGACGGGAAAATGAAACTTACCACTTTTCCAAGGCAAAATGGTGCGGAGTAGTTATTTTGGTAGTGTTTGAGTTTTGATGTTCAGTAGCAAAGAAAGATCCCCAGAAATAAGCCCAGAAGTCTCAGAGGGAAAACATAAATATTCATCTGTGCTTTTAACAACTTGCTATTTTCTTTCTTAATTGTGTTTACCTTTAAAACAACAACAAACAGAAGCCAAAAACTTGGCAGAGGGTTGCTTTTTAAGAGGATTGTGTTCCTTGACTGCCAAATGAGCATGGCTTTCTTTATTTTTTGGTGCTTTTTTCTTTTTTTTTTTCTTTTTGTTAAAGTGATACTTTCCATTTCTTTCATTCAAAAACATCTTGCCCTTCAACCGTCATCCAGTACTTGGACATCAGAATGTTGGGGGCCCACAGAGGGCACGTCAAAGGCTGTGTTTATTATTATTATTATTATCATGTTTATTTTTATATTATTGTATTAAATTATAATAAGCATCCATTAAGACTCAAGATAGTAGGCATTAGGGATGTGCAGAATTTAGAGACGAATATACACAAGCAAATATTTGCTATACATTATAATAAGCCATTTGTACTTAAAAAGTACTATGACCATAGTATTATTATTATAATCATTATTATCATCAAAGGAGAGG